GGGGTGGGGGGATGGGTTAGCCTGGTGATGGGTATTTAGGAGGGCACGTACTGAATGGAGCAGTGGGTGTTATACGCAAACAATGAATCATGGAACACTACATCAAAACCTAAATGATGTAATGTATGGTGATTAACATAACATAATAAAAAAAAAAGGAAATCAAAACCTGGACTGCAGAATTGAAAATACTAGTTTTGTTGCTTGAAGTGAGCTAAAATAACCTCTAGGAAATTAGACTAATAGTATGAGAGTTTTTATGGGTGGGAGAATAAGAAAGCAACTCTAGTCCACATTATTTTCAAATTAAGTTCTATCTTCTCATAGAAAATGAGGGGCGCCTGAGTGGCTCAGTCGTTAAGCATCTGCCTACAGCCCAGGTCATGATCCTAGGATCCTGGGATCAAGCCCCGCATTGGGCTCCCTGCTTGGCGGGAGGCCTGCTTCTCCCTCTCTCACTCCCCCTGTTTGTGTTCCTTCTCTCGCTGTCTCTCTTTCTCTGTCAAATAAATAAAATCTTTAAAAAAAAAGAAAAGAAAATGAAAGCACCCAGTCTAGGGAGAAAAGAAAGTGGATGAGCTTTTATTGGGCAAAGTCAGAGAGGTAATGTTTAAAAATAAGGAATAATACGCTTTTGCAGCCAGAGAAAACCACACCGCAGATTCATTTGGTAACTGCAAACTAAAAAATATAAAAGAAGAAATACATTCTTTGAAAATATAGAAAAGCAAAACATTATATTCATTCCACAAGGGCAAATGCAATGAGGAGATTTAAATTATGTAAACATTTTATATAAACTTTATAATATAAAAAACTCATCCTTTGAGAAAAGAAGAGAAATGCAACATGAAAATTTCCCTAATACTTTAAAGGATAAAAAACACACTGAATATGAAAACCTATCATCCTTGAGGTTGCTTGTGTTTAAGGTACAATGTTATCTTTAGCTATATGCCTTTTTCTTTGTATTTCACAAATATTCCATTACTCAGACATTCATTAATTCTAAACTTCATGAAATAAAATACTAGCATTTCATATCTCCTTAGTTCGGTTTAACATTGTTATCCTATCAATATGCAAATTTCAAAAAGATAATTAACAAGGTGAATTATAGCCAAGTGCTTTTTTCCTTTGTGTAAGTGAATTTATCATATTATATTAAAAGGAAATATATAATCAGGGGTACATAAAGCTGTAAAGAAAGGGGTCATAAATATAGATGTCACTGTATGAGTATAAGTAGTCACTGTAAGAAATAAAAAGAATAGAAAGGCTATGAAAATCAAAAGCATAGTTCAACTCATCCCCCTGCTCACCTCCCCTCCAGTAACCCTCAGTTTGTTCTCTATAGTTAAGAGTCTGTTTTCTGGTTTGCCTCTCTCTTCTTCCCCCACTATGTTCATTTGTTTTGTTTTTTAAATTCCACATAGGAGTGAAATCACATGGTATTTGTCTTTCTCTGACTGACTTATTCCGCTTAGCATAATACTCTCTAGCTGCATCCACAGTGTTGTATGTAAGTGATGAATCACTAAATTCTACACCCGAAACTAATATTACACTGTATTTAAGTAGCTGAAATTTAAATAAAAACTTGAAAAAGAAAAGAAGAAAATAAAATTACAATTAACTTTGTTTCATTAAAAAATTCACTCTTATTTTTGCATTCAATCAATTTTTCTTAGAATCTAGTCTTCTATTTTTAGTAAGACATAAACAAATGCAGGATAGAAATAAAGGAGATTAAAGGTAAAATATTAATTTTTAAAGGACCTCTAGAGCCAACTTACCAGATTTCTGAAGTGAGGATGAATTTTCTAAAGAAAAATTCCCATCAATTTTAATATCAGCATAGACTATATCTCCAGCCATTGCACATATTAAAAAGAGAGAGAAGACCAAAAATGATGTTCTACTGAAGGGAGTCTCAGTTCTGCAAATAAACTTCTGGTGAAGTCAAATAATCTGCTCTACCAAATTTGGTGGATTTCCTCTATGAATATAGGACAAAAGCAATGTGTTCAGTCTTACCAATCAAGGTAATAGATTTTTGAACACTTCATGATATGGAAGAAAACTACTATTCATCCAGCAGTTTCTTGCTCTACAGTTTGTTTTCTAGGTTTGGAATAATTTTAACGTTTAATACCACAGAAGATATCATACCGCTTTTTTCTTCTATAAACTACTTCCTCTTTTAGTTCAGACATATATTCTCTGGTAGAAACTCTGATCATTCAGCATTTTCTCCAAAGTGGAATAGCAATTTGGAAGGGAGGACAAAGAAAAGGGATTTTATTATGGAGGTGATAGAAATGCATCTTCTCATCTTGAAATGCATTGCATTTACCTAGGTATTACCTTTTTTTTTTT